AGAATCTTCTAGTCTAACTACATAAAAATTCCATTATAAAAGAGTAACTTATAATTCTTTTCTCTCACCACTATGCCACCACAGCTCTTATAAGCATGACTAAGCTTAGCCACATGTCTAGGTTGGGTTGATATTGTCCCAGCTTTGTGCTTCTGTCTCTGTATCCTGGTCAGTTTACAAGAAAGTCCTGGAAAGTAGGATTGTACAAAGGGGAAGGTGGGATTTGTCCATCTGAGAGGAAAAATAATCATTCTCATGGTGCCTGGACACCCAAGCAAGCCTGATGTTCTTGACCTTTAATTGTTTGACAATAATGGTCACCATATACATCAGTGTTAGCCACACTTTTTCAACCAACTGCTCTTTTACAAAGGCTTTTTTTCAGCCCAACACCTCTTATCTACATGCCAATGCTTTGTATTATTTATGTTTGGTATTTGTGGTTGACAATCATTGTTTCTAAATCTTGATATGGTAAGCATATGATTATTATAGGTAGTCCTTAGTTAATGAAGGTAATTGAGACCAGAATTTCCATCACTGAATGAGCCGTGTTGGTACAGTAGTTAGAATGCCGTATTACAGGCAAACTCTGGCCACAGCCTGGAGTTTGATCCTCATCGGCTCAGGGTTGACTTAGCCTTCCATCCTTCTGAGGTCTGGTCAGCTAGAGTTTACTGGAAAATAAATAAGGTGAGTGTGCATAGTAGGAGCAGCTTTTAGGCATAAAAACTTCTATTTATACTAAAGATATGTGGAGAAATATGCTTAATGTTTCAACACCCCTCTTTCTTTCTTTGTAATCTGATTGAAGCTCTGTGAAACCAGTTCATTCTATGTATTGTATGAATGCATGTTTTTATTTTTATCAGATATTAGCTGTTCTAATTTTGTTACTGAAGTTTTGAAATAATATTTTATTTTATTGCTGTAAGGATTGAGTCATGAGATCTTAGTTCAAAAAACAAGACTTCAACGTGCATAATATGTTCATTTTTTGACAAGATGTTTAAAAAAATGTATTTCCTGTAAAAAACATTTTTTTATTTAATAGCGACTGTTTATATGTACTTTTCAGGCATAATTTTTGTCAGGTGTAATTTTGTGCATTTTTGATTATGGAAAGATGGATGCTGACAAGACGGATTGATTGTTTGAATGTCTGTATAATGTAAAGTTCATTTGGAATAAAATATACAAATCTGCTCTTGATAAAATTTATGACGGTTTCTTTTGCATCTCTGTCTTCATCAGGGACTTACCTATTCATATTTGAGGATTAATTGTAACTTTTGGTGACAGACCCCATCTATTTTTTTTTCTTTTTACTTAAACAAACACCACTGTCATCTTCTCAAAAAGCACATCACATCATAACTGTAAATATAAATTACTGATTTGGGGAATGGGGTGATTATAGTTTTTTTCACCCCGTGGGAACTGAAAGTATTGGGAAATTGAGAAAAGGGAGAGCTTGGGTTTTTCTCATAGTGTTGTATTCATTGGGGAGTTGCCTTCCACTTGACTTGACTTAAACAATCATTCTTTTGCTCTCCAATAATGCAGTCAGTGGAAAACTGTGAATTATTTTACAGCTTTTGTTCAAGAGCTTTCATTAGTCAAAATGCTTTTTAACCTTTTTTTGATAACAAAAAAATGTTTTCTCAACAAGGGCATTCTTTATTTTTGCCATCATAATATAAGCACTCAAACTGACTGCATTATATTAAATTCACTTCCCTATCTCTGTTTTCGATTTAGGAAACAAATACAATAATTCCATTTTAAAAAAATACATTGCTGAACAAAATTATACCTTAGGCTTTGGGTACAAAACATTCAAAAATACAAGTAATGTTCTTTTAATCATTACTTTTACAGATGATTACAAAATGCTTCACTAATTTATACACTACTTTATAGTCCTTCCTTTCACCCATCTCCTCCCACTTATGACTGTATGACTGTAACCTTGTTGCTTGTATCCTAACAATTTTTATTGACTGTTTCCTAGTATGATTTGATTGCTTATTATACCTTATGACTATTATTAAGTGTTGTACCTTATGATTCTTGACTCTTGACAAATGTATCTTTTATGTACACTGAGAGCATATGCACCAAGACAAATTCCTTGTGTCTCCAATCACACCTGGCCACTAAAGAATTCTATTCTATTCAAAAGATTCCAATCTAAAGCAGGCAAACATCTTCCAGATGGGTGGACTTTAATACCCAGAATTCCCAACCATCACGGCCATTCCTGAGAAGTTGAGTGTTGAAGTCCACTCATCTGTAGGGCAGGGGTCCCCAACCACCAGGCCCCAGACCAGTACCGGTCCATGGATCATTTTCTACAGGGCCACCGGTACTTGGGCACCACCATCTTGTTTCGACAGCGCTTGAGAAAGTGCGTCCGGGTGAGCTTGTCGGTCGTCGGTTGGAAAGCGGCGTTTGGATGCTGAAGGAATCCTCGCGCCTTAGTTTTGTCAAAGGGGGGGGCGGCTTCGAACGAAGAGCGGTCCCGATGGCGATGGAGTCTCGCGTTACTCAGGAGGAGATTAAGAAAGAGCCCGAAAAGCCCATCGACCGCGAGAAGGTACAAAGGAGGAGTTGAAGGTGGCGGGGAGAAGCAGGGGACGGCTGGCTGGCCGGTCGCTCAGCTCGCCTTGCCTTGGTCGTGCGTGCTGATGCCGGTACCGGTCCGTGGATCATTTTGTACCGGGCCGCAAAGAATTAATAATCGTGAAACTGGTCCCTGGTACAAAAAAGGTTGGGGACCACTGCTGTAGGGTACCCAGATTGGGTAAGACTGAACTCAGGAGTTTTTTTTTTTTTTTTTTTTTTAACCATCAATTGCTTTTCTTTTCTTCCGCAGAAATAAAATGTGAGGAATCAATGGCCTGACTGGACAAAACCAGCCAGTTGGATGGCAAAATCACTGCTTAGGAAGTATCACTTCAGGCAGTGCATAAATTAATGGTATTTGGAAATTGAAAGCTGACTCCCCCCCTACACATACATAAAATATACAAAAGCAACAAAGCATGAACTGGTCAACCTTATTTTCCAAATTATGTTGCAGCTCAGGTATTTAAATATTTGTAAGCTTTAATCAGAATCAGTAGAAAACTTATGGAAGTTTTCACATAATGAATGAAAACCTGCAAGTAATTCTGAGAAATTGTCACCTCTACTCTTACAGGTTGTTTTTTATACAATAAGAAGATATGAAAAAAATCAAGGTAGTCCTTCTTTCTAACAGTGAATTTATTATAGCTAACAAAAAACATAGGTGTCCTTGAAATGTATCGTGATGCAAGGATAGCAATTGCATTATGCAACGTGCACATTTCACCATTTTCTTAACACCATGATGAGTCATGGTGGCACAGTGCAGTACTAGAGTGCAGTACTGCAGGGTACTTCTGCTGCCTGCTGCCTGCCTGCAGTTTGGCAGTTCAAATCTCACCAGGCTCAAGGCTGACTCAGCTTTCCATTCTTCTGAGGTGAGTAAAATGAGGACCCAAATTGTTGGGGGCAATATGCTGACTCTGTAAACGGCTTGGAGAGGTTGAGATTTTTTTAATGTTTCTTTCTTAAACATAAGAATTCCAGTACAGATATTACCGTAAATTATGTAGAAATAAAAAGAAAGATCTGCTTGAAAATATATAAACTAAGAAGTCTAAGGAACATTTGATCAAAGTATTTAAATATAGTTTTTGTTATCTCTCTGTTAAGAACAAGCCAGATCAAACAAGAATGGGCAAGAATTCAATACTGTTTCAACAATGTTAACACATTAAATCAATTGTCCATTTGCCTTTCCAATTATATGATCATTCTTTTTGTCATATCTCATCCATGTAATCACTGTAACTCCTACTATGATTATTATGAGGTATACTAACTAAATGAAATCTATGAATTTGTGTTGTTTCTTAATTCCAACTGATGGCAAACGAAAAGGATTATTGACTTAAGAACATAAGTCAATAATCCTTTTCTTTTGCCATCAGTTGGAATTTGTGGACTACTAGTTGCATCTGATAAGTCAACTATGGCAAACAGGAAGCATTTTGCGTAGGTTAATGGAACATTTGGTCTGATCCATATTAGTTTATTTCCTTTTTTTTGTCTTCCTTTCTTTAAATTCAGATTGACAAAGACCAGAGACAGGCCTTTTTCAGTAGTACTCTTATTTTACAGCAGTAATTTGAGAAATGTGTTTCCGTGGACTAGTACACCATGAGCATTTTTGTACTTTGAATTTTTATTACATTACTTATTGACTTTTATTTTTAGATTTTTAAAATAAAATCTAACGTTTGCCAGGACAGTTAGCTGAGAAAAATCCAATACAAATAATTATGCTTGTTATGTGTTGAAAACGACACACCAGGAAATTTGGTTTGTGCCAGTTGTTTTAGGAGAAGCAAAGAAGCAATCATTCCACATAGTGCATCATGTCTCACTGAATAGTTGAACTGATGGATCATGGCAGTTAAAATAATTAGTTAAAATATAATCCCCGAGGCTTAAATCGGGATTTTTTTTGGGGGGGGGGGGGGATTTTCCTAGTCCACTGACAAAAGCAGAGAAACCAACAAAAAAAGCACAGAGAAGGAAGGAAGGAAAATCACCCCGATTCTGGAATGGCTTGAGAAGAAATTAAGAAGTGGGGGTCGCCACACAAGATTCCTGCTCCCCAGTTTACAAAACCCCAAAAGGTTCTGGGCAAGTCGGTCGTTATCTCTGCAGATCTTCATTAATGCACCGCCTCGCCTCCTTCCTCCTCTTTCAGTCCTCCCTCGCCCCCCCCCCGCCCCCCAAATTTTCCACAGCTCCAGGGACCCGGGTCAGCCCCGACCGCGCGTCCAAACGTGCACGCGCGAGCCTGACAAATGACCTCTCGAAATTATCTCAGAGCGCCGAGCTTCGGTTGCTACGACGACCTCTTTGGGTTCGCGGCGAGCCATGTGACAGTGACATTGACGTCAGCCGGAGGCAGGCGGTGTGGCTGGAGTCTCCGGCGGATCCCGAGCCGTATGTGAGAAATCTGCCGCGTCCGGGGCTGCTCGCTCGTTCGCTCGCTCGCTCGCTCCTTGCCGCCGCGCTTCCTCCGCCGAGCAGCCGGAGCATGGCGCATTAGAGAAGGATTGCATTTCTGCGGGGCGAGGTAAAAGGCTGCCGGAGGGGTTGCGGTTAGGCAATTTCCCCGGCTTTGGGCGCATTGCTTTGCTTTGCTTTTTTTTTTTGGTTGCTGTGGAAGAGCCTCCTTTTCGTTTGGGGCGCGTTACAACTTTCCCCTCCGGGGCAGAAGGCGAGTCGGGGTGTTCCTCAAGAGGCGGCGCGGCTTCCTCCGCTGAGCTGAGCGCGGGCAGCGGCGGGGGGTAAAAGTTCAGGGCGGGCGAGGGAAATGCCAGGCAGCCCCCGAGACTGGGCGGGACGCTGTCGGCGGCAGGCGTGGGAGAAAGTGTCGGGGACCGGAGTCCACGAAACGCGGCTTCTGTCTTCCTTCCCCTTCCCTTGCTCCCCTTTGGCCAGGTTCGAAGAAACACCTTACTGGGTCGCCTCTTTCTTTGGGCCTCTTTCTTCTCTCCTGCTACGAGCCCTGCTGGATTCCCGGCGGATCGAAGTTGGGAGCATTGGAAGTGGCATTTGCTTCCATAGGACTTTGGAGTTGCATCTCGGGTGGGGGGTGGTGGGGGGCTTCGAGGCTCCAGGCACGGACTCGGAAGGAAGCCCCCATTCAAGTGGAAGCGAACTTCCAAGTCTGGTTGTGGGAACCTACCGGCGTCTCTTTGCCTGCCGAGAAGAAGTGAAGCTAATACGAATTCTAGGTTTCCTGGTGTTAGCGCTACTTTAGATTACAAACAAGTCTTTCGTTTTTGCAGAGAGGCTGTAAGAACGAGAGTCAGAAACAGACCGTTCCAAATCTGAGATATGCCAATAGAATAGTTAACCAATTGTGTATTTTCAACTACCTTTCCGTTCGCCCACTCCACCTGCAGCTTTCCTTTTAAACTTTCCTTCTTGGGGAAACAATGAGTTGCGGTGATGAAAAATAGGACCTCTCGTTTGAAAGATATTATTCCCACTTGAAAAATAAAAACACTACTTGCTTGCTTCCTGTATGAGGGAAACGCTGATAAAAAATAAACTGCATCTTGCATAGAATTCCAGACTTTCTGGAGTTGAAGGGCCAATACATTTAAATAAATAATGATTCATTGAGTTGTATTTGAATGAGAGTTAGCATGGATGCCTTTATATAACATTAATTAGAGTGATGTTGCTATTCCTCCTTTTGTCTAATTAGAAATGTAGGAGAATAACTGCAATATTGATATTTTGAAAGAAACAGCATGGCATTTATTTCAGATCTACATACTGTTTTTAAAATATATCTCTGAAAATACACTTATGTAATGAGTAACAAAAATGACTTTGAAACTTACGAGGTACACTTAAAAAGGGAAGTTTGAAGAAAGAATAGCATATAATTTGTCTTGATATGGGAGTCTTAATATGGGATAATATTTGTACATTATATGTCCATGAGAGGGAATAAATACTTTGTTTCAGTTATTGTTTGCTAATTATTTGTGTTGTATTCCTGAACCTTTTAAGCAGCTTTTCAAAAATTTAATACCTGATGATTGCTTATCAGTTAAATATTGGATCTGTCTCCTGCTTAATATATTTGGCTGAGGTAAAATGAAGAACTAATCAATAAGAAATACGGTAATAGGTTTATAAATATTGCAGTCAATACTGCAATATAGTTTTTAATTATTAAAACTATAGATGCATTTATTGTCTTACAGGTGAAACAGAGCCTTTTGGAACCCCACTTTTTGTATCAATCAGTTTTAATAGGTTTGGTTTATTTTTGGAACTAGAGCCCTGATAGATTTAACCTAATGATAACATGTTTTGGGATTAATAAAACAAAAGTGCTAAAAGATGAAAAGAATCAAGCACTGACTGACATTTAAAGATAACCTGAGTGGGGGGAAAGCTATCTAGTTGTTGTATAGATGACAGGTATAGGATGCTGTTCAGCAAAATGCTATTCTGCCCTAATTTTCTTAAACAAAACTTTTGGAGAAAAAATAATTATGCAGCTGCGATGCAAGATAACTGTTCCACTCAGCTGCATTCTTAAGTTTGTATATGCATAATCATGTAGCAATGCTGACAACACAAAATGTATTGAAAATTTCTGTAATGATTCATGGGTAGCTAAAATTGTAGTCTTGCCATTTTTACTATGTCAGATAATAGAAGCAACAGTTAGCCAGTGGTGTTAAGACAGTGGTGTTAAGCAATTTCTGGATGAATGATTAGATTGATACTTTTGAAGCTGCTGCCATAGCAGTGTTGAGTGGTTGGCAGAGTTAGTCTCCTGAACATGCAATCATGTCGCTTTTGCTTCTGCAGTGATTGGTACTCAATGGGTGGGGATGGAAAAGGCATCTGAACTGAGTGGCCCATCAGTGCAGGCTGTAACAAGCTTTGTTCTCCACCCAGATGCAAACATCTGGAGTAGCAAAGGATTTCTATTGGGCAAACTCCCTACAGAGTGTGACTAGGTTCACACATCTTCTAAAGCCATAAACTATTGTTGTTGTTGTTTTTCACTTTGATTTAGAATGGGGCGTTTGGAAGCCATGGGAGAACAAGTGATCTCTTCTATGGGTTCTCTCAAAATGTTGACTCGTAAACCATGATTGCCAAACCACAATAGCTGGCTCACACAACACTATACATTTTTAAAAGTGATTTTAAATTCAGGTAGTATTTTAAAAGAAGTTGTATTGCAGAGCATAGCATCAACCCCACAATAAATTTTAAGAGAGTTTCCCCAAATAATAGCCTTAGATGTTCATGGAAAATAAAAATACTACTTTTTTAAAAATTGTAATTGCTTTGTTTGTATTCTGCCCAGCTGCCTAGAATAGATAGAGGTAAGTGGGGTGTGGAGTAGTAGAGTTCTTGGAGTTTAGAGATTGTGACAAAGAGCCATAGGTGGGTTTTTCGTGAGCCAATTTTTGATGGAGCATCTCCTCCCACAGCAGCCATTTTGTTGAGTTCCATTTCTAGATATTTCATGTATTTGCTACCTCAAAATGGTTAGAGCTTTGCTGTACTTAGTTAGAAGAATTACATTTTTCTTCTTCACCTGTGTGCATAAATTGCTGTAGGCAATATCAAGAAAGTTACATTTGATGAAGAAAAGTGAGCTATTTAAAAAAGGATTCATGCTTTTTCCCAAATTGCATCTTTCCTTCCAAACTCCCAAGCCCCCAAGCCATGAAATGAAAATGGAACCTCTGTAGACCACTGGTAAAGCCAGGATTTGATTTAGAAATTAACCCTGTCAGTAGTAATACTGTAATACATATTAGTGAATGTACACTTGACCATACATTCTGAATCTTTAGGGATCTCAGGTGGAAAAATGTTACTGGAGAACTGAGTTTCTTTGCTGTTTTTACTTGTTCCAGCATTTCAGTAAGATTGCATTCTTGCTGCAGACTGAAGCAGTTATACATTCATACCACACCTGAGGAGGAGAATATATATTAGGAAAACCAGCATATCGAATGTACAGGTTATTTGCTTATGACAAAATGACAGACCTGCCTGTAGTATTCCAGAAAATACAAGTGCCTTTGTACCATTTAGAGATCATGCTGGCAGTGGAATCTCAGGTCATCCACATGTGTGAGGAGCAAGAAGAAAACTCAAGTTGACAGGGAATGCCATTATTACACACCTCGACATTGCCATACAGCCTTTGTGCCAGGGGATGCTTCTCAGAGCGACCAAGTTTTTAGCAGAACACACAGAAAAAGAATGTGAGTCTGTACAAGTAATACTCATGTACTTATTGGAGTGCAAGAACCATTTTGTGCAGGATTTTTGCATCAAAGCAAATTTTCTTTGACATAACCAGGATAGGAAGGGGACCCAAAGGTGCTTTTTTCAAGAGGCAACTGGACTTCCTGGTTTTTTCTTTGAAGATGTTTTGCTTCTCATCCGGGGGAGGGATATGACATCATCTATCTCCAATTTACAACACAGTCCTTTCAATAGTTCCAAGAAGGTTCCACACCAATTTGCACCACTCAGGTAACCCTGATGATACAGATAAACCTCCAGGTGACCTTAACAACCCTTTAAAAGAATGCAAGTGTCCAGCTGACTGAAAGAAGTATAAATCCTTCCATTCCCCACCATTCAGTCAGAACTGAAGAAGCTTCTTGGATGAGAAGCAAGAAGTCTTCAAAGAAAAACCAGAAAGTCCAGTTGCCTCTTGAAAAAAAGCACCTTTGGGATAACCATGACCTGGATGACTGAGAATCTCCATAGACAGAATAGGAAGAAGAGTTTTTTAGCGACCATAAGAGCAAAACCTAAACGTTTAGGAAGCTGCTGAAAAGGGAAGGAACAACTCCACCCACCTTGTCAGGGTTAGTAATGTCAGTTAAGAAAACAAAAGGAAACACCTCATATTTACACTGTAAATATTACAGTTTTCTAATTAGTTGGTCACTTTAATAGCCTTGGATATCTGGGCCATTTGCTGTTCTCCCTATTCCAGGATCCAATTATGAATGCCAGGACCGTAGGAAATGCAAGCAGAGATCTCCCAAGTACGGTAGTTTAAATCTGAACCACTTCCACAAATAATGATCAGGAGCTCTATGCGGACCAATAGTCTGATCCTTTTCTGAATGAAACAGTTTTTCTTTCTTTGCTTTGTCTTCCCTGCAACTTGGGTGACAGCTGACAGGATACAGCTCATACATCCTAGTGAAAGCAGCACTCTTGTGTATCTGACAGCCTTACTCCATCCTCTGGAACTGAGTAATTGTAAAAAATGAGGGTCATTCTTTCTATTTTTGAAGCAAACTGAGCTATGTCCGGAAGACTGCTCTAGAGAGGTGAGAATTTATCAAATGGTGGTGTCTCTGTCTTATGTGGCAGAGATTCTGTGACATATTACAATAATATATAAGGGAGTGGAGGCTAAAACATATAAAGAACGGTTGCTGGAATTGGGTATGTCTAGTTTAATGGAAAAAAAAGACTAGGGGTGACATGATAGCAGTGTTCCAATATCTCAGGGGTTGCCTTGAGTTATGACTGTAATGGAGCCTACCCATT